CGCTCCCCCGGGCCCCTCTCCCGCTCCCCCGGGCCCCGCTGATCGCTCCCCCGGGCCCCTCTCATCGCTGCCTCGCAGCTGCGGAAATGCGTGGACACCTACAAGTACATCTTCGTCTTCTCTGTCGCCAACATGAGGAACAACAAGCTGAAGGACGTGAGGAATGCCTGGAAGCACAGCAGGTGAGGGGGGAGCGCGGCCCCGGGGCGGCAGCGGCCCCGGCTCCTCTTTTTTCTCTCCCTTTTACTCCTCCTACTCCTCAGGATCTTCTTCGGGAAAAACAAGGTGATGATGGTGGCGCTGGGACGTGAGCCGAGCAGCGAGTACAAGGAGAACCTGCACAAGGTGGGATCTTTTGAGAGCATCGAGTCCAACTGTCAAAGCCACCATCAACATGTCCCTCAGCACCATCTCCATGGCTTGGACACCCCTCCAGGAATGGGGACTCCCCCCCTGCCCTGGGCGGCCTGGGCCAGGCCCTGACAACCCTTTCCAGAAAGAAATTGTTCCCAAGATCCAACCTAAACCTCCCCTGGCACAACTTGAGGCCATTCCCTCTTGTCCCATCCCTTGTTCCTGGGGAGCAGAGCCCGACCCCCCTGGCTCCAACCTCCTCTCAGCAGCTGCAGAGCCAGCAGGTCTCCCCTCAGCTCCTTGTCTCCAGGCTGGACACCCCCAGCTCCCTCAGCTGCTCTTGCTCACACTTGTGCTCCAGCCCTTTCCCCAGCTCCCTTGCCCTTCCCTGGACACGCTCCAGCCCCTCCATGTCCTTCTTGTCCTGAGGGGCCCAGAACTGACGCCAGGATTCGAGGGGTCCCCTCCCCAGTGCCAATCCCTGTGCTATTTCTGACACAAGCCAGGAGACCACCTGGACACACACAGGCTCATATTACCACTGTCAACCAACACCCCCAGATCCTTTCCCAGCTGCTCTTCCCCTTTTTTCCAGGTCAGCAAACACCTGAAGGGTGAAGTTGGTCTCCTGTTCACCAACCGCACCAGTGATGAGGTGGATGAGTAAGTCCATGACTGCTTTGGAAGCTCCCAGAGTGTGTCTTTTCCCCATCAACTACACCCTGATGTTCCCCTGGAAGCAGTGATGGTGTCTCACAGCTCAGGCTCTCCTCCCTGTCTCAGGTGGTTCTCCAAATTCACAGAGGTGGACTTTGCCCGGGCAGGGAACAAGGCACCATATGGGGTGAGCCTGGACATGGGGCCCCTGGAGCAGTTCCCACACTCCATGGAGCCCCAGCTAAGGCAGCTGGGATTGCCAACTGCCCTGAGGAAAGGTAGGTGAGCTGGGGGGGAAAGTCATCTTTGGTTTCCATCTGCACAGGTAAGAGCAGAGTTTAGGTTTGGATGGGCAGCTTTGATCTCTCACATTCTGGTGGGATTATCTGAGTTATTCCAAGACCTTCTGTCTCTGCAGGAGTGGTGACATTGCTTGCAGATTATGAAGTCTGCAAGGAAGGGGATGTTCTCACCCCTGAACAAGCCCGTGTCCTGGTGAGTCGTGTTGTCACATGAGTGTCTGCCAGCCCAAGTTTCCCCTGATATGAAATCATTAACTATTCCCTTTAATTAGCTGGAGGGTGGGAGTTCTCAGACAACACCGGTCACTGGGTGCAGCTAATATCCTTAGGCATTCCCAACCTGAGTGTTAGAACTCTGCAGGAATTTTTTTTATATCATATATCACAGACTGGTTTGGGTTGGAAAGGACCTTAAGATCATCTAGATCCAACCTCCTGCATGGGCAGGGACACCTCCTACCAGACCAGGCTGTTCCAAGTCCCATCCAACCTGACCTTCAACACCCCCAGGGATGGGGCAGCCACAGCTTCCCTGGGCAACCTGGGCCAGGGTCTCACCACTCTCACAGCAAAGAATTTCCTCCTCATTTCCAACCTAAATCTCTCCTCTTCCAGTTTTAACCCATCACCCATTGTCCTCTCAATACAAGCCCTTGTAAAAACCCCTTTTGGCTTCTGCCCCCATCAGGAAGCCATACTTGCTGTCAGTGTTTTTTGCCAGGCTGGACCTGGAGACCTTACACCAGGAATGACAGATTTGTGTACTTTCCTAGAAACTCTTTGGCTACGAGATGGCAGAGTTTAAAGTCACCATGAAGTTTCTGTGGAATTCTGAGACAGGAAAATTCCAGAAGCTTGCGGGAGACTCGGCAGAGGAGGAGGAAGAGGAGGACAAAAATGACATCAATGAGGACTAGCAGCAGTCCTTCTGCGTGGACACCTGACAGTTCTACTCTATTTTAGAGACAATGAGGAGGGGTTTTCCCTTCCCTGTTGGCACACAGAGGACAGAATATGTTTTTATGAACTAATTATGATTTTTTAATATAAATCTATATATAAACTTGTGGCTGCTGCCTGTTACTGCCAGAGCACCCCAGGACCTAAGGAAGTGCCACCTTCAACATGGTGTCATGCAGCTTAGACACAGCACTGGGGAATCACAGAATCATGGAATAGTTTGTATTGGGAGGGGCCTTAAAGCTCATCTAGTTCCAACCCCCTGCCATGGGCAGGGACACCTCCCACCAGCCCAGGTTGCTCCAAGCCCCATCCAACCTGCCCTTCAACACTGCCAGGGATGGGGCAGCCACAGCTTCCCTGGGCAACCTGGGCCAGGGTCTCACCACCCTCACAGCAAAGAATTTCCTCCTCATGTCCAACCTAAATCTCCCCTCTTCCAGTTTTAATCCATCACCTCTTGTCCTCTTACTACACACCCTGAGGGTTTATTCTGCTAGAAGATTCAGAAGAAACTCAAAAGCCACCAAACACTGGCAAGGAGATGCCAGCCAGGCTATAGCTACAGTTAAGAGATAGGGTCTGTGTTAAAAAGGCTTTATTCTTGTACCTGGTTATTTAAGACACCATATTAAAGCAGGACTGGGGCCTTCATCCCATTACATGTCCATTTTTCCCAATTAAAGTTTCAATCACAATGTGCTGGAGGACTAGGAGGGGAGGCAGGATAAGACATGACCCAATGGGCCAAGGGCTGCCAGCAGGTCCTACAAAGCTTCATCAATACAGGAAAAAAAAATCACAACCCATTTGCATGTCAATCAAAGGGGCAGGGTGGGCATGTACTCCTCCTGTGCCCTGGGAATCTCGTGCGTGATTATCTGCCCCCATGATCCTGGATTTCCCATCCCTACCCCAGTCTCTAGCGGAAGTAGTTGGGGCAGTCATGTGCTGTCAGGTTCCAGGCTTGATCAAACGCCTCCACCACAGCTGGGTGCAGAGGACCCTCCTCACTGTAGTCAAGGTTCTGCTCTAGCTGCTCCAAGTTGGACATCCCAATGATCACTGCGTCTCCAAGAGAACCCTGCAAAGTAGTAAGAGGAGCTGCTGATCCCCAAAGAAACCCAGGGCACCTCCCCAGCCACTGGAGACCAGACTAAATGTTCCTTTCCAGGGAAGAAATATCCAGTGACTCCTGGATGTTTAAACAACTGACACCACAAAGTTCTTTACACAGGCCAGAACATCTCCCAAGTTACATCAGCTCTCAAAAGCCTTATGGGGTTCTAGGGGAACATTGTAGGGAGGTGGGGAATATTACCATTAATTTCCTTATCCAATGAAAAGCAAAGTTATCTCCTTGCAGGGAAGTTGACTGGGAAACCAAGATCCCAGTAACTGGCACTTAAAA